ATATATATATATATATATATATATATATATACATATATATGCATGTGAAGTAGACGTTTGACGCTCATTGTTGTGGTTAGGATCTCACTCGATCCCATTCGAGGTCCAGACATTGTATCGCGTTCAATATCTCCCGAAGAAGACGAAGAAGAAGAAAGGCCCAATTCATGGACCATATTGTATTCGAACTGACGTTTCGGAAACTTCCTCGTTTCCATCATCAGAGTAGCGTACTTGTTGTTCCTGCCGGTCTTGAGTTGTTCAGTCTTGCCGCTTGCCTCGTATTATAGCCGTGCTCGACGCTTAAACTTTGACCTGCCTGTTTGCCGCTGACTGGCTTAGACCTCCGCGGGGCTGACCGCTGACAGGCCTGCGTGACCTTTGTTCCCTTTGGGTCGGCGTAATCGTAGTCAAATTAACGTGCAGGTTGACCTCTCCCACGTCAGTCGGTGGACTGATCAGTCGTTGCTGTTCATGTGAGCAGCATTCACCTTCGCGGGCGCATCGGTGAGACAGTGTTCGGCTTTGGTCACATGACCTGTGGCCCCCAATTCTGCTCTTTTCTGTAAGCGTTGACTCTCGGTCCCGCGTGCTCGCCTGCTTTACCGGTCCTGTCCGGACTGATCCGAGCCTTGTACGCAGCGCGTGGTAGGGGGGATGTAGATCTATAGCTCGGTTGAGTGTGTTAGTCGAGGACCAACGAAAGTAATAATTATTACTTTAGACACTCCATGACAATTTCTTCATATGTATCTACGGCCAGAATTTCGACGGAATCTAGCTTATCATTTAATTGATAAGCATTGTCTACTCAAGTGAGGACAGTGGTGTTGACTGACTGGGTCCAATCGACGCAGTGGAAAACAAGTGTGGCACATTCTCATCCGTTCTTGGCCTACGAAATGTCTACAATAGTCATACTTACTGTAGTATTGGCGATGGAGCTGGCCAACCAGTTGGCTCTTTCGGTTGGTTTGGCGAGTCCTCGTCGTCGGAGTCTGAGGTTAGTTTGCGAATATGTCTGCAAAGGAAAATTAGTGGTACATAACATGGTAGCACACCTGATCCTCTTGCCCCTACCCAACTGACGCGGCTCGGAACTGGAAAGATTGTCAGTATTCTGTGCGCTCCGCGCCGCCTGTCAGGCTTTTTGCAGCGCTAGGCCACTTTTTAGTACCTTGACGGCGTACGCCTTAGTACCATCCGGTGGCCGCTGGTTGTTCTCCAGCAAAATGCGGCGCTGCCTGTGCTTTTTAGGCCATAGTACGCTGCCCGCGTTGTAGAACCAGGCTTCAGCCACTACCGCCACAGATTTGTCGTTGAAAAATTCCACCACGGAATACATCTGTAGCAAATGTTGCATCGTAAGTCGTACAATGCAGAAATACATCTGTAAAAAAGCAGACAGTTGAATATAAATCACGGGAATGTAGTTGTGTGAAGGAGGGCGATAAGGTAATACTGGTTGTTGTTTTTAAAGGACACGTACTTGCAAATAATGTCGGAGAGTAAGCTGGTTATCGGAGTGTCTGATAAAACGGTGGCTTTAAAATGTATATGGAAGAAGAATGAAGGGACGTTACAAAAAGATCCTGACAGTCGCGGAAAGGGCAGTAAACTATGCTGTTAGCCGACAGTGATGTCAGTGCACAGGTTCTGTGTCCGATGAGTACGACATTGTCGGGTGGCTCAGTGGAAAGGACATATCCCTTGTGAAAGATAGCTGTTGATTGACGGGGCAGTTTAAAGGGCCGTTGCACTCCCTCATCGTCGTCCAGCAGCATAGGGCGTGTAGACTGTTCAGACAAGCGTCTTTCCGAAAAACGCCTGTACAGTTGTGCGGCTATGTTAGTGGGCCCTTTTATGCTACCACGAACGTGTCGTAAAAAAGACTCAAATGGAAATGCTGAAAAATTATTCAGCACCCCAAACCGAACGACGCCAGCGTGCAAGTGGAGTAGAGAATGGACATTGTAAACAAGATTAGATGGCTTATAATATATGGAAAAATTATAGACCAAAATTACACAAAAGTTGGCGGCCATAATCACCACAAGATATATGCAAGGTTGAGTGGCAAAATATGTACACTGCCCGTGTGTCTCTTCTCGTCTGTCCCGTTGGCCGCCTGTACTGACTCGAGCCTTGTGCGTAGCGCCTGGTAGGCGGGATGTGGTTCCATGTCTCGGTTGGGCGTGCCAGTCGAGAACAAACTCCAGCATCAGTCTGGTGATTTTATCGTTGGCTCGGCCGATCACCCTAGCTTTCTCGAAGGCGACACTGTGGTTCTGCTGTAGTGTGTGGCCATAGACCAGCGACAGCTTATCCTTGCGGTTGATTCCAAGCTGGTGCTCGTGCGATCTTGTGCCGAAGCGTTTGCCCCTATCACCAACATACCTTGAATCACAACCTTCGCATGGTATGCTGTAGACCACCGCTGATTGTTCCATCACAGTCAGCGGGTTTTGGGCCTCATAATTTGCTGTCTGATTGTTGATGCTACAACCGACTTGCTTTAAGTGGAATTCGCCTCTGCTTAACGTGTGTTATGTACTTTGCTCGCTCTGCATCGGCGGCCTCTTGAAGTTTCTTAGATTCTGCGAGAAGTGTCCATTTGAGTCTTTACGACGCGTTCGTGGTAGCATAAAAGGGTCCACTAACATAGCCGCACAAGTGTACAGGCGTTTTTCGGAAAGACGCTTGTCTGAACAGTCTACACGCCCTATGCTGCTGGACGACGATGAGGGAGTGCAACGGCCCTTTAAACTGTCCCGTCAATCAACAGCTATCTTTCACAAGGGATATGTCCTTTCCACTGAGCCACCCGACAATGTCGTACTCATCGGACACAGAACCTGTGCACTGACATCACTGTCGGCTAACAGCATAGTTTACTGCCCTTTCCGCGACTGTCAGGATCTTTTTGTAACGTTCCTTCATTCTTCTCCCATATGCATTTTAAAGCCACCGTTTTATCAGACACTCCGATTACTGGCTTACTCTTCGACACTATTTGCAAGTACGTGTCCTTTAAAAACAACAACCAGTATTACCTTATCCCCCTCCTTCACACAACTACATTCCCGCGATATATATTCCACTGTCGGCTTTTTTACAGATGTATTTCTGCATTGTACGACTTACGATGCAACATTTGTTACAGATGTCAGTCAATCAGTGCATTTGAGGGAAATAGGCTTACGTCTTTGAACTCCCTATTTGTACATAAAAAAATCGATAAACAAGCAAAAATGTGAAGAAATTACAGCATTAAGTGAATGCATACATTGATTCACATATGTCACTAGTCACATGGCTAAAAAGTCACATAGTCCGCTTGTTGCTGCAGCATATATCTGTCAAAGCGACATTTAAATGTCTCAACAGATTGAGACATAACAACCATCTCGGGCAGGTTATTCCACGGTTCCATGACACGGTTGGAGAAGAAATATTGACCGGTGCCAAATAAGCGGCCGCAGGTCTTGCATCAAGGCTACCTTACGTACTATTGTGTGTTCAGTAGGTGTGCTTGTGGTATTTTTTTGCCGTTGCTGCAAAAACACACCTAGCAACCCGACTCGGTAGGGTTTACGTGGAGTTCCCATCCCCTGTTGCCTAACATTTATGTCCAATATACAATGCCACTTTTATGCCTTTACGCACACAAACTTCTCCTTTCCTAGACCACGTCTGCGCAGTTCCCATGCGCAACAGTTGCGCTGTTAACTGCGCGTTTGCCGGTTTCGTGGTTTACGTAGTGTTTCCCGTCATCATCTCTCGGTTTCCGGTCATGATCCACTTACCTCCCCTCCCACGAATTCCGGAGTCCACCTAACTGAGTTGCCAGCATTCCCATTTCGTCAGTCAGACTACCACTTACGTCAGCTGTTTACTAACGTTTCCAGCCCGGCATCCACTTCCGGGCGTATACATGACCCTACAGGCCTTCCTTCCGCATATTCTGCAACACCCATCCCCCCCAAACATAAGGCTTACAGCCTACGCCGTCTAAACATACGACTGTCACTTTGGGGTAGCTGCTACCAAAGGCATCAGGCTCTTAGACCACTGCGGTATTTACATACACCCCTACTGCTCCCTCACCGCCTAGCCCATGCCTTTCCCCCTCCCCCCTTCCAAAGGCCTGTAATCTACGCCGTCCCAATATCAATCCCCGCAGTCCCGCTCCCCTTTACGCAAGCTTCCCGCAATCGACAATTCCTCCATCGGCTGTTTTCATTTCCGCCTGCTTCACAGTCTACTGTCCCTCCCAACCGGCTTTGTTAGTTGACCTGATATGCCCTTCCCCGCTGGTGGTTCATGTCGTCCGTTACCAGCTACAGCGATTCCTACTTACCGTCTACCATGGCCGGCAGCGGCCTAAGACAGTCTCTACGTACCTCCCAGTTCCTGCTCTAAAGGTCTTCCGTAATCACTCCCTTCCTGACCTACAAGGGTTTATCGACGAGGCTTAGTGGACGTCATTGCATTATTCTACGTAGGTAAATATGTTCACGTACCAAGCCCCCAAGGTTGGTCGATCAGTCGCAATCCATACCGTGGAATGATGGCTACGTTACCACTGCTAGAGATAGCCGTCCATCCCACAGACAACGTCCGTTCAATTCCCCCATTAGTGATCCATAGGCACCTATCAGCTAACGCAGCCCTGTGGATGATATTTACTCAACTGCGTATCACACCTTCCCTCATTTCGGAGGCTTAGCAGTACCGTAATCACGAACAACGCCATAGACAAATGCAATATTTACTCCGAATTAGGAAAAGGAACAATAAACTGGACATACAGCGAGGTAGGGGAAATCGTCCCCGACTGCCTTGGGCAGCCGGTTTGCCACAACAGTAACATTCAACAGTCAGGTGTACAATAAAAAGGGTACGCGATTACACGCTTCCAATACCATGCGGTACCCCCTGTCAACCTGAGCATGCATCTTCCGTAGGGAATCCCTCATCGCCAGCAGACAATGGCACCATTACTGTAGGTAGGCATGGACAGTAAATAAACGAGGTATGGAGTCTTCCTTTTACGTCTTCCATCTGGGCCTCCGTTGGTTGCCTTCATCAATCGTCCATGGTTGGCTCTCCTCCATCGACAGCTCCCTCTTTGACCGGCCTGTAACGGTCACCGGCACTGTAGGTAGGCATGGAGAGTAAGTGGACGAAGTACTCAGTCATACCTTCCAGTGATCCGTCCGCGCCTTCGTTGGTTGACTTCTCCAATCGTCGATGGTTGGCTCTCCTTAATCGACATCTCCCTCTTTGACCGGCCAGTAACGGCAACAGGCACTGTAGGTAGGCATGGAGAGTAAGTGGATGAAGTACAGAGTCATACCTTCCAGTCTTCCGTCTGCGCCTCGTTGGTTAGCTTCTTCAATCGTCGACGGTTGGCTCTCCTCAATCGACAACTCCCTCTATGACCGGCCAGTAACGGCTACAGGCACTGTAGGTATGCATGGAGAGTAAGTGGACGAAGTACAGAGTCATGCCTTCCAGTCTTCCGTCTGCGTCATCGTTGGTTAGCATCTCCATTCGTCGATGGTTGGCCCTCCTCAATCGCCATGCCCCTCTTTAACCGGCCGGTAACAGCAACATTCACTGTCGGTAGGCTAGGAGTGCAAATGGAGGAAGTAACGATGCTTACCTTCACGTCTTCCGTCGGTGCCTTCGTTCGTTATCTTGCCCAATCGCCGTTAGGTTGGGTCTTCTCGCTCACCACCTCAACCATCGACAGCAGGTAATAGTCACAATGACTGCCGCTAGGCATAGAGAGCAAATGCAGTACGTACATATGCTTACCTTCACGATATCCATCTGCGAATTCGTCGGATGGTGGGGGATATGTAGAAGTTGACACCCGCTGTATTGTAAACTTCCACAGTTCTCCATCTAGATCCTCACCGACTGCTGGTGGACGTAGGTGCCGTCCTCAGCGGGTTATACTGGCCGCCGCGGATGAAATACAAGCTCTCCTTCAGTCAGCAGGCGTCGTTCAGTATCTGCAGCGGTCGACGTTGCTGGTCACCACCGTAGCATGCCGATGTCAGCGTACTGTGCAGATGCAACTGTTGCCGCACATACGGACGGTTATGCATTCCGTTGTGGACACTGCAGGCGGAGGCGATGCATGTTGACGCAGTCATTGTTCGTTGGCAGCAAGCTCAGTCTACAACCACTGCTACGCATATGTTACAAGTTCGTCGACAGTGTGCGCGGCAAGCGCTGTGCAGCAAGTGTACGTGTCAGTACAAATACTGCCATGGAGTGGAAGTGCAGATAGACGAGACGCTCAGCAGTCAACGCAAGTACAACGGGGAACGACCGCGGTGCCAGTTGTGGGTCGTCGGTATGTACGATACACGCAGCGAAAAGCCCTATTTGAGTCGATTAAAAACCTCAGCTGGGAGGTCCTAAGACCCGTCATAACAAAGTGGGTGGCTGTCGGTAGTATTATCGTACCCGATGAGCGTAAGGGTTACACCTACATACCGTCGGAAGGTTATACATAATACACTGTCAACCACAGTAGGACTGTCGAGAATCCCACAATGGGTCTGTATACGAACGCCACAGCGGCCTACTGCAGAAGATTAAAGAGGAACCTGTACGAGTCTGGCCTTGTCTGCGGCACAACAGTGTTGGGTTCACCGAGATGAGGTTCAGTACCGCCTCTAGTTCGACCTAAGCGGCTACAATATGGCAGTCTCCTGGTAAACTTTCCTACGACATTGGGCAGAGGCGTATACAATTGAATGCGGTCGTTACCTGCGGCCGCATGGACTGTAGATAGCAAGGAGACTACATGGAGGAGGTAGGGAGACTTACCTTCACGACTTCCTTCTGCGCCTTCGTTGGTTAGATTATCTATTTGGCGTTGGTTGCCTCTCCTTAATCGCCAGCAGATAACGGCCACATTCACTGTAGTTAGCCATGGAGAGTTAATGGACGAAGCCCATAGACTAACCTTCACGTCTTCCGTCTGTGCTTCCGTAGGCCAGCTTATCTAATCGCCGTTTGTTGGCTTTCCTCAATCGTCAGCACTTCCACCACCATCCATTAAACGGCCATATTCACCGTATGCAGGCATTAAGACTTAATGGAGGAGTTACGGAGACTTACCTTAACGTCTGCCGTCTGCGGCTCCGTTGGTTAGCTTATCTAATCGTCGTTGGTTGGCTCTCCTTCATCACCATCTCTCCCATCGCCATCCGTTAAACGGCCACATTCACCGTATGCAAGCATTGTGACTTAATGGAGGAAGTACGGCGACTTACCTGCATGTCTTCCGTCGGTGGCTTCGTTGATTAGCTTACCCAATCGCCGTTTGCAGGCTCTCCTCAATCGCCAGCTTTCCCATCGTCAGTAGGTAACCGCTGCATTCATTGTAGGTAGGCATGGAGAGTAAATGGAGGAAGTACAGAGACTTGCCTTCACGTCTTCCCTATGCGCCTCGGTTGGTTAGCTTACCCAGTCACCGTTCGTTGGCTCTCTTCTATTGGATACGCTGCTGCCCAATGTCGTAGGAAAGTTTCCCAGGAGTCTGCCATGTTGTCAGTCCTTAGGTCGAACCATAAGCGGTACTGAACCTCATCTAGGTGGGCCCACACTGCTCTGCCACAGACAGGTCCAGACTCCTGCAGCTTCCTCTTTAACCTGCTCCAGTAGGCTTCAATGGCGTTCGTATGCCGTCCTGTTGTGAGATTCACGAAGCCCCTACGGTGGTTGCCAGTGTAGTGCGTATAACCTTTCGACGGTAGGCGGGTGTAACCCTTCCACTCATGGGTTACAATAACACTACCAGCAGCCACCCACTTCCTTATGACGGGCCTTAGGGCCTCCCAGCTGCGGTTGTTAATCTGCTCAAACAGGGCTTTCCGCCTGCGTGTATCGTACATACCTACGACCCACAACTGCCGCCGCGGCCGTCCTCTGTTATACTTGCGGCGACTTATGAGCGTCTCGTCTATTTGCACTTCCACGCCTGGTCCCCCAATTTGGGTTACGGCGGATAGAAGTGCGTGTAAGCAGGCCCCCCGGCAAATGCCGTACCATTCCATGGCCGTATTTCTACTGACACCTACACTTGCCGCACACCGCTTGGCACGCACACCTTCGACAAACTTGTAGCATATACGCATCAGTGTCTGCAGGCTGAGCTTACTACCAACGAACATTGACCCCGTCCGCAGGCACCTCTTCCGTCTGCAGTGTCCACAACGGAATGCATAACCGTCCGTATGCTGCCGCAACACTTGCATCTGCACAGTGAGCCGACATCGGCAGGCTAGGGTGGTGGCCAGCAACCTCCACCGCTGCAGGTACTGAACGACACCTGCTGACTGAAGGACAGCTTGTATTTCATCCTCGGCGGTCGGTGTAATCAGCTGAGGACCGCGCCTACGTCCGCCTGCATTCGGTGACGACCTAGGTATAAAACAGTAGGAGTTTACGATACTGCTGCTGTCAACTTATACATATCTCCTACCCCTCTTTTTCCCTTATGTTTGCCTACATATATCATAGTACACCTAAGAATGAGGTTGAGTTGAATTACGGGTTGCTTACAGATATTAGACCATCATGCGGTCCGCGCTAACTACTCGGACATACCGTAACTGTCTCTGCATTTTTCTCACACAACTTAAACCTACCCGGCAGTACGCTCTGTGGTTAAATTTAACCATAGAAGGGTTACGTAGTTCTATAAACTGCTCCCACTATGGATACTTATAAATCTCATAAAACATCGAGCATACACACAGCGGCCGCCACCTTCGGGAGTTCGCTAGCTTGTAGGCTGGTGCGGTGGCGTTGGAGTACGTCCAGGTATCCAAACCATCTTTCGCGTTATGCATATTAAACGGTGCATGCGGTGGAGATCACCGATATACCAAATAGGGAGGGGGTTAGTAAGGGGCTGGGAAGTGACGCAATCGTCATAAGCACTTTATTCAAATACTCTTTCCCAACCGCAGTACACCGCTGTCCGCCCGCGTCCCCCTTGCGCATCGTATGCTTCGTGTCCATCTAACGCACACCACTTTCAAGTGCGGCGCCAATGATCCCATTGGTTAGCCGCTTGGCGGTTCAGGTTTACTCGCCCCGGCGGCCAATCACATCACGTCCCCGGCCAGCCCACCTTCGATTGAGCATTGTCTACGGTTTTCCCTATTTGCGCGCCATCCTCCCCTATTTTTGACTTCATTAAAACAAATAATTATTTTTCTGCGATTTCCAACATTTTTCGGCATCCAACTGCCAATCCAGTGCCCTTTGCCGTTTACCCCGCCCGTTCTTCCCCTCAAAACCGCCATCCCGTTGTACCCGACCCACCTAGAGAGGAATTCTCATTGTGGCTGCCTGTTTGGCTTTCGCCGAAATATTTTCTCACATTCAGTCTATCCTGTGGCACACGTAGCTTGAAGGGATGTTCCCGGAGGTGAGTTGTAGTGGCGAGTCGGAAAAAGTCATCGCGCCGAAGGGCACAATCCAAGCCGCACACGATACGGAAAGTTTGTATCATGTCTCCGCGCAACTGCCTATAGTTCAGAGGATAGAGATTAAGGTTAGTTAAGCGGATCTCTTATGGCAGTGCACTTTGACCTCTTAGTAATTTTGTTGCTCGTCTCTGCACTTCGAGCACGGTCTCCAGGCCTGAATAGCATATTCGAGATGGGGCCTTATAAACGTGCCGAAGACTTTGGTGAAGCAGTATTCCATGATGGAATTTTTCAACGACAAATCTGTGGCGGTAGTGGCTGAAGCCTGGTTCTACAACGCGGGCAGCGTACTATGGCCTAAAAAGCACAGGCAGCGCAGCATTTTGCTGGAGAACAACCAGCGGCCACCGGATGGTACTAAGGCGTACGCCGTCAAGATACTAAGCAGTGGCCTAACGCTGCAAAAAGCCTGACAGGCGGCGCGGAGAGCAGAGAATACTGACAATCTCTCCAGTTCCGAGCCCCGTCAGTTGGGTAGGGGCAAGAGGATCAGGTGTGCTACCATGTTATGTACCGCTTATTTTCCTTTGCAGACATATTCGCAAACTAACCTCAGACTCCGACGACGAGGACTCGCCAAGCCAACCGAAAGAGCCAACTGGTTGGCCAGCTCCACCGCCAATACTACAGTATGACTATTGTAGACATTTCGTAGGCCAAGAACGGATGAGAATTTGCCACACTTGTTTTCCACTGCGTCGATTGGACCCAGTCAGTCAACACCACTGTCCTCACTTGAGTAGACAACGCTTATCATTTAGTACTTTAGACACTCCACGACAATTTCGTCATATGTTCCCACGGCCACAATTTCGACGGAATTTAGCCAGCAGGTGCAAAAGAACATGGCTGACATATCAGGTCAGTTAGTAAGCACAAATGTCCGGCTAGCGGCACTTGAGTAAGACTGTGAACAATCTCCCTAACAAACTAGTAGGAAAAGGAACGATTTCCTAGCTGAGCAACTTATGGCTCTTCATAGCAGTGCGCAGCAGATGCAGGCAACACTATCAGCTGTCGAAATTGTGGCCGTTTAAACGGATGAAGAAATTGCCGTGGAGTGTGTTGGATTATGGGGATTTCAGCGACCTTCGTATCCAGGATGAGAAGTCACTTTCACTGGCCATTGGTAATTCCTGCATAATAAAAACTTTCGTAAGACATACGTAATGCAGGCGCAACGGAAGTAATGATACGCTGTATCCAATACGTACGATTTTAGTAGTAAAAATCACATGAAGTAAATAGCATGCTGTGTAGGATTGGCAGTTAGATAAATTTGGTTACCGGTTCTTTGGCGGGGGATAATTATGGGCACGTGGCGGCAGGTATGGTGATTTCTGTAGTCTAAATAAAGGTGGATGAAAATCCCGAAAGTGTGTACCTGACGAATGTTCCGCCGACGTGTCGATCTTCCTCCGTACCGGTCCTGTGATCCATGAAACTACCTGATTGCTGTCTGTCGAGATATCTCTATAGTGCAGTTGCCAAAACGGGGATGTTGGGCAATGGCATCTGCGCGTGAAAATAAACAAGAATTGGACTTACCTTTAAGGACAGGAAAAAGTGGACAGGCCATGAAGGACTTCTTCTCCTTGGATCCGCCCGCCCAACAGAAGTTGTGGCATAAGGGTGGACCCAATAGAGCCGTCAGTAGGTTTCTGAGGAAGTCTGCCCCATTTCGACCACCTACCATGGCCAGTTGTCGGATCTGAAAACAGTGAAGTAGATGTGCACATACCGCCTCGTTTGCAAAACCGTCGTCTACGCTGAGCTGACGAAGAAAGTTTTCATATGCCTCCTCGGTACACAGCGGTAAATTTAGGGAGGAGGATGTGACAGGAGCGGCGCTGGAGGCTCTCTGCAATGCATTGACAACCTCTGATAGTGTTCCCTTCATCTGCTGCGCACTGCTATGAAGAGCCATAAGTTGCTCAGCTAGGAAATCGTTCCTTTTCGTACTAGTTTGTTAGGGAGATTGTCCACAGTCTTACTCAAGTGCCGCTAGCCGGACATTTGTGTTTACTATCTGACCTTTTATGTCAGCCATGTCCTTTTGCACCTGCTGGCTAAATTCCGTCGAAATTGTGGCCGTGGAAACATATGACGAAATTGTCGTGGAGTGTCTAAAGTAATAAATGATAAGCGTTGTCTACTCAAGTGAGGGCAGTGGTGTTGACTGACTGGGTCCAATCGACGCAGTGGAAAACAAGTGTGGCACATTCTCATCCGTTCTTGGCCTACGAAATGTCTGCAATAGTCATACTTACTGTAGTATTGGCGATGGAGCTGGCCAACCAGTTGGCTCTTTCGGTTGGTTTGGCGAGTCCTCGTCGTCGGAGTCTGAGGTTAGTTTGCAAATATGTCTGCAAAGGAAAATTAGCGGTACATAACATGGTAGCACACCTGATCCTCTTGCCCCTACCCAACTGGCGCGGATCGGAACTGGAGAGATTGTCAGTATTCTCTGCTCTCCGCGCCGCCTGTCAGACTTTTTGCAGCGTTCGGCCACTTCTTAGTACCTTGACGGCGTACGCCTTAGTACCATCCGGTGGCCGTTGGTTGTTCTCCAGCAAAATGCTGCGCTGCCTGTGCCTTTTAGGCCATAGTACGCTGCCCGCGTTGTAGAACCAGGCTTTAGCCACTTCCGCCACAGATTTGTCGTTGAAAAATTCCACCACGGAATACATCTGTAGCAAATGTTGCATCGTAAGTCGTAAAATGCAGAAATACATCTGTAAAAAAGCAGACAGTTGAATATAAATCGCGGGAATGTAGTTGTGTGAAGGAGGGCGATAAGGTAATACTGGTTGTTGTTTTTAAAGGACACGTACTTGCAAATAATGTCGGAGAGTAAGCCAGTTATCGGAGTGTCTGATAAAACGGTGGCTTTAAAATGCATATGGAAGAAGAATGAAGGGACGTTACAAAAAGATCCTGACAGTCGCGGAAAGGGCAGTAAACTATGCTTTTACCCGACAGTGATGTCAGTGCACAGGGTCTATGTCCGATGAGTACGACATTGTCGGGTGGCTCAGTGGAAAGGACATATCCCTTGTGCAGGATAGCTGTTGATTGACGGGGCAGTTTAAAGGGCCGTTGCACTCCCTCATCGTCATCCAGCAGCATGGGGCGTGAAGACTGTTCAGACAAGCCTCTTTTCGAAAAACGCCTGTACACTTGTGCGGCTATGTTAGTGGGCCCTTTTATGCTACCACGAACGTGTCGTAAAAAAGACTCAAATGGAAATGCTGAAAAATTATTCTTCACCCCAAACCGAACGACGCCAGCGTGCAAGTGGAGTAGAGAATGGACATTGTAAACAAGATCAGCTGGTTTATAAAATGTGGAAAAATTATAGACAAAATTACACAAAAGTTGGCGGCCATAATCACCACAAGATATATGCAGGTTTGGGAGACAAAATATGTACACTGCCACGGAAAACTGTAAAAAATGATTATAACGTCGTCCGTCTAAATATGGGGACAAATCAACGGGGCCTATGTACAAGAAGAATTGCCGATATTCGACAGCCTTCCAAAACTCCAGGAAGTCAAGAGTTCTACACTTGCGTGAAAACTGTCGGTAAACAGTGGCAGCATAGCTTAATAGATGCGTTTAATGACACAGAGTGGGCACCCAAAACCATGTCCCCACGTATGCAACAATTTTCGCATAAAACCGAGGCAGACTTGGTGCATGTAGTCAATTGGGAAACAGGAAACCATGTCGATGGGCAAATCATCGAAGGGAGATCTGCCCTTATGATGCGGTCTCTGACTTCGCAACCTAAACGACCTGTCATCACGCAGACGGCCACTGTACTGCGGGAATGTCATGCGATTCGCAATATGTTTGCCTTTGTGACAGCATCTACAGCAGTTACGATTGCAAATACAAAATAGCTTACCTGTCGCATCCATAGTAGCCATTGTGGGCCTTCACCTGTCGTACATAACAGCGGGCTGGGGTGTCGTAAATCACATTGAGCAAATCCACTTTGATGACACTTTCTGTACGTGGATCGCGCAGGCCCGTGTTGAGAAGGCCTTTCAGTTCACTAACACAATCGCCCAGAAAGTCTTCCAACGGTTCGGGCTTACCAAAACCGCAGAACACTCCAACGACAAAGGGCTGCCCAACAACGGGATGGTTAACACGAGCTAGGATCGGCCACAAGCACTGAGCAGACGCTTTAAAGACTTTCATTCCGTCAATGTGCAGTTGAACGTGCACTTCAGGAATGCCCGTTAGTGGGCAAAGGCGCAATTCGTCGAGTAGGCCGCGTTCGAGACCCAGGTTAACGTATTTTCCTCTCTTCAGGGACTTGCTAACGCAAGTTCGAGGCGTCTGCAGTAGCGTCCTCGGGTCGTTGGGTAGCTCCGGATGATAGTGCCGCAGCATCTGAAACAAATCCTTTGCTGTGGTCAACGACAATGTCGCCCTCAAACAGAATTCGCGCAAATCCGTCGTCAAGCCTCTGCCTTCCACTGTGTCCACAGTCCCAGCCACTACAGGCAGTTTTATATATTCCAGTAAATAAGGCACATACAACTCCTACCCGTTGAAACTTCCGGCATTAGTTCGGGCATTTGCAATTCCGGTGACTAATTTGCAACCGAAGACGTTGATGCGATGGGTTGCTCCTCCATAGCAGCATAATATGCCCGCCTCTGGCGCAAGAGCCGCTTGTATATAGTGCTTCGGTGAAAGCCGTAATACTTACGCTTCATAGCAACGAATAACTACTCAACGACAACAAATATTTGTACTTTCAACATTGTTAGCAAAGTCATAAGTGAAATTATGCTAATACGTATGTTACTACACCTTAATAAACATAACGCATATCCTAAATGGCATAACTTGGAAAATAAAGAAGTATCAGACTCAAAATGGACGCCGAATTACTTGTCAATATGTCGTAAACAATCACAGGACATGAGAACCGCAACGCTTGCCCTAGACACAGCAAAAGATCAATGGCGTCTAATTGGGTCACCTAAACAAAGCACCTTAATCAGCTTATTTCAAGACATAACCGCTGCTCACAATATGAAAATTCCTAGTACTTTATGAGTGATATAGGATATATCTTGACTAATTTAGCACGTTGCATATATATATATATATCGATGTGCGTAAAGATTCTAGGTCCAGACATTGTATCGCGTTCATCTCCCGAAGAAGAAGAAAGGGCGAATTCATAGACCATACCGTATTCGAACTGACGTTTCGGAAACTCCCTCGTTTCCATCATCAAAGTAGCGTAGTTGTTGCACTTGCCGGTCTTGAGTTGTTCCGTCTTGCCGCTTGCCTCGTATTATAGCCGTGCTGGACGCACGAACTTTGACCTGCCTGTTTGCCGCTGATTGGCTTAGACCTCCCGGGGCTGACCGCTGACAGGCCTGCGTGACCTTTGTTCCCTTTGGGGTCGGCGTAATTGTGGTCAAATCAACGTGCCGCTTGGCCTCTCCCACGTCAGCCGGTGGACTGATCGGTCATTGCTGTTCATGTGAGCAGCATTCACCTTCGCGGGTCATCGTTGAGGCAGTGTTCGGCCTTGGTCACATGACCTCCGGCCCCCAATTCTGTTCTTTTCCGTGAGCGTTGACTCTCGGCCCCGCGTGCTCGCTTGCCTTGCGGGTCCTGCCCGGACTGATCCGAGCCATGTACGCAGCGCCTGGTAGGCGGGATGTAGATCTATAGCTCGGTTGAGTGTACCAGCCGAGGACCAACTTTCGAGCACCAGTCTGGCCATCTTCTCATTGGCTCGACCAATTAACGTCGCTTTCTAAAAGGCAAAATCGTGGTTCAGTTCTCGTATGTGTCCATAGACCAAAGACAGCTTGTCCTTGCGGTGGATTGCAAGTTGGTGTTCATGCAATCTTGTACCGAGGCGTTTGCCCGTCTCAACAACATACCTCGCATTGCAATTTAGGCATGGAATGCTGTAGACCACCGCTGATTGTTCCATCACAGGCAGCGGGTTTTGGGCCTCATAATTTGCTGTCTGATTGTTGATGCTACAACCGACTTGCTTTAAGTGGAATTCGCCTCTTAGCGTGTGTTATGTACTTTGCTCGCTCTGCATCGGCTGCCTCTTGAAGTTTCCTAGATTCTGCGAGAAGTGTCCATTTGAGTCTTTTTTACGACACGTTCGTGGTAGCATAAAAGGGCCCACTAACATAGCCGTACAAATGTACATGCGTTTTTCTGAAAGACGCTTGTCTGAACAGTCTACACGCCCTATGCTGCTGGACGACGATGAGGTAGTGCAACGGCCCTTTGAACTGCCCCGTCAATCAACAGCTATCTTTCACAAGCGATATGTCCTTTCCACTGAGCCACCCGACAATGTCGTACTCATCGGACATAGACCCTGTGCACTGACATCACTGTCGGCTAACAGCATAGTTTACTGCCCTTTCCGCGACTGTCAGGATCTTTTTGTAAAGTCCCTTCATTCTTCTTCCATATACATTTTAAAGCCACCGTTTTATCAGACACTCCGATAACTGGCTTACTCTCCGACATTATTCGCAAGTACGTGTCCTTTAAAAACAACAACCGGTATTACTTTATCCCCCTCCTTCACACAACTACATTCCCGCGATTTATATTCAACTGTCTGCTTTTTTACAGATGTATGTCTGCATTGTACGACGTACGATGCAACATTTGCTACAGATGTATTCCGTGGTGGAATTTTTCAACGACAAATCTGTGGCGGAAGTGGCTAAAGCCCACTAACGGGCATTCCTGAAGTGCACGTTCAACTGCACATTGACGGAATGAAAGTCTTTAAAGGTTCTGCTCAGTGCTTGTGGCCGATCCTTGCTCGTGTTAACCACCCCTTTGTTGGGCAGCCCTTTGTCGTTTGAGTGTTCTGCGGTTTTGGTAAGCCCCAACCGTTGGAAGACTTTCTGGGCGATTGTGTTAGTGAACTGAAGGGCCTTCTCACTGCGGGCCTGCGCGATCCACGTACAGAAAGTATCATCAAAGTGGATTTACTCAATGTGATTTACGACACCCCAGCCCGCTGTTATGTACGACAGGTGAAGGCCCACAATGGCTACTATGGATGCGACAGGTAAGCTATTTTGGATTTGCAATCGTAACTGCTGTAGATGCTGCCACAAAGGCAAACATATTGCGAATCGCATGACATTCCCGCAGTACAGTGGCCGTCTGCGTGATGACAGGTCGTTTAGGTCAGGGAACGCATCATAAGAGCAGATCTCCCTTCGATGATTTGCCCATCGACATGGTTTCCTGTTTCCCAATTGACTACATGCACCAAGTCTGCCTCGGTGTTATGCGAAAATTGTTGCATACTTGGGGACTTGGTTTTGGGTGGCCACTCTGTGTCATTAAACGCATCCATTAAGCTATGCAGCCACTGTCTACCGACAGAGTTTTCACGCAAGTGTAGAACTCTTGACTTCCTGGAGTTTTGGAAGGCTGCCGAATATCGGCAATTCCTCCTGTACATAGGCCCCGTTGTTTTGTCCCCGTATTTAGACGGACCCCGTTATAATCATTTTTTACAGTTTTCCGTGGCAGTGTACATATTTTGCCACCCAACCTTGCATATATCTTGTGATGATTATGGCCGCCAACTTTTGTGTAATTTTGTCTATAATTCTTCCACATTGTATAAGCCATCTGATCTTGTTTACAATGTCCATTCTCTACTCCACTTGCACGCTGGCGTCGTTCGGTTTGCGGTGCTGAATAATTTTTCAGCATTTCCATTTGAGTCTTTTTTACGATGCGTTCGTGGTAGCCTAAAAGGGCCCACTAACATAGCCGTACAAGTGTACATGCGTTTTTCTGAAAGACGCTTGTCTGAACGGTCTGCACGCCCTATGCTGTTGGACGACGATGAGGGAGTGCAACGGCCCTTTAAACTGCCCCGTCAATCAACAGCTATCCTTCACAAGGGATATGTCCTTTCCACTGAGCCACCCGACAATGTCGTACTCATCGGACACAGAACCTGTGCACTGACATCACTCTCGGGTAACAGCATAGTTTACTGCCCTTTCCGCGACTGTCAGGATCTTTTTGCAACGTCCCTTCATTCTTCTTCCATATGCATTTTTAAAGCCACCGTTTTATCAGACACTTCGATAACTGGCTTACTCTCCGAAATTATTTGCAAGTACGTGTCCTTTAAAAACAACATCCAGTATTACCTTATCGCCCTCCTTCACACAACTACATTCCCGTGATTTATATTCAACTGTCTGCTTTTTTACAGATGTATTTCTGCATTGTACGACTTACGATGCAACATTTGTTACAGATGTCAGTCAGTCAGTGTATTTGAGGGAAATGGGCTTACGCCTCTGAACTCCCTGTTTGTGCATAAAAAAATCGGTAAACAAGGAAAAATGTGAAGAAATTGCAGCATTAAGTGAATGCATACATTGATTCGCATATGTCACTAGTCACATGGCTAAAAAGTCACATAGTCCGCTTGTTGCTGCAGCATATATCTGTCAAGGCGACATTTAAATGTCTCCACAGATTGAGACAACAGCCGTCTCGGGCAGGTTATTCCACGGTTCCAAGACACGGTTGGAGACGAAATATTTTCTCACATTCAGTCTACCCTTTGGCACACGTAGCTTGAAGGGATGTCCCCGGAGGTGAGTTGTAGTGGCGAGTTGGAAAATGTCATCGCGCCGATGGGCACAATCCAGGCCGCGCACGATACGGAAAGTTTGTATCATGTCTCCGCGCAACTGCCTATAACTCAGAGGATAGAGATTAAGGTTAGTTAAGCGGATCTCGTATGGCAGTGCACTTTGACCTCTTAGTAATTTTGTTGCTCCTCTCTGCACCCTTTCGTGCGGATCGTAATCCTGATGCGTCCATGGTTTCCAGGCCTGAATAGCATATTCGAGATGGGGCCTTATAAACGTGCCGAAGACTTTGGTGAAGCAGTATTCCGTGGTGGAATTTTTCAACGAGAAATCTGTGGCGGTAGTGGCTGAAGCCTGGTTCCACAACGCGGGCAGCGTACTATGGCCTAATTAGCACAGGCAGCGCAGCATTTTGCTGGAGAACAACCAGCGGCCACCGGATGTTACTAAGGCGTACGCCGTCAGGGTACTAAGAAGTGGCCTAACGCTGCAAAACGCTCGACAGGCGGCGCGGAGAGCAGAGAATACTGACAATCTCTCCAGTTCCCAGCCGCGCCAGTTGGGTAGGGGCAAGAGGATCAGGTGTGCTACCATGTTATGTACCAATAATTTTCCCTTGCAGACATATTCGCAAACTAACCTCAGACTCCGACGACGAGGACTCGCCAAACCATGCGAAAGAGCCAACTGGTTGGCCAGCTCCACCGCCAATACTACAGTAAGTATGACTATTGTAGACATTTCGTAGGCCAAGAACGGATGAGAATGTGCCACACTTGTTTTCCACTGCGTCGATTGGACCCAGTCAGTCAACACTACTGTCCTCACTTGAGTAGTCATACACTTTGCAACGCAGAAGTGGTCACCTGCACTATTGGGAGGTCCTCCAAAATATCTTCAAATTAGGCGTCGCCATGGCCGCGCTTGGCCACACCTGGGCAGCTTGCTACTAGCGACAACGAACGCTGTGTCAGAGGACACATACCACATATAATACATGAGCAGCTCGCTAAGAGTGCAACAGGCCAGACGCAGACAACTGTTTCACGGTCGGTGCCGATCATCAGTACGTCACAATCTTGGCATGGTATGCTGTAGACCACCGCTGATTGTTCCATCACTGGCAGCGGGTTTTGGGCCTCATAATTTGCTGTCTGATTGTTGATGCTTCAACCGACTTGCATTAAGTGGAATTCGCCTCTGCTTAACGTGTGTTATGTACGTTGCTCGCTCTGCATCGGCTGCCTCTTGAACCTTCCTGGATTCGCGGCCAAGGCATAACACAAGACATCTTATTCAGACATATTTGGACAAAATTGTTGCATATGCAGAAGTGATCAGAAGTGGTATATATTTCTAGCCGATATAATGGAAAAAGAAAGGCGTTCATTGAAAAATCGCGTTTTACTCGTAAATTTTTTAGTTACTGTCAGCGACGAAATAAAGATAATATAGAAAGCGAGGCAGTCACACTTGGCGCATCTCTGGACATAAGTAAGAAAAATAGACATATACGGGACCATTGTTATATTGCCCTGACGTTTCAAAAGCAAGCAAGCTTTCATCGTCGGAGATGAGTGTTGTACAGTATTTATGAGTGGTGACCATCTTGTTGAAATGGGTTCACCTTCATCAGGGGGTGGCGTTTGAACGCTGGCCGTCATCCCACGTGTTTGCACTGATCTTTGCTCACGTCCTAGGCCTACAACCCGAATTTGACTAATGTGTGATCGTTACTGCCACTTATCTGGCAGTTGAAAACACAGGCGGTCGCAGGGTCGTGAAGATTTCCAGCCTAGGACGAGAAACTGTGAGACGCAGTACAACACTCACCTCCGACGATGGAGCCTTGTTTGCTTTTGAAACAGCACGGCATTACAACCATGGTTCACGAGATCGCTTCTTCTTACCATATGGTGGCGGCGCATACAGCAGATCCACTTAGTCCTAGACGACCACCGGTTCCTTCCAGTCACGCCACCCCCCCCCCCTCATTCCGCTTCCTTTGAAGCAGGTGTGACTGAACACGAATCGGACGCGCCGTCTGAAGAAGTACGCGTGTCGACATCCCGACCGGAAGAAGGATAAACTGGAGGAAGGCGTCCCCGGCAATTGGTGTGAGAATATTTTTTTAGAGAGAGAGGAATGCTTTATTTTGAAAATAACATTCAAAACTTTCAGCAAAAAAGGTTCTCCAGTACACAGGGATTACCATAGATATTAAAAGGTATTGCACATGTGGGCATAATTATATATGAAGAAAAAGGGACTTTTAGGTGCAAGATCGAGTTTTAGCTTTTGTTGTCCAGCATCTTTGCAGGTGAGATATCGGGCTATAAATGGCAGTATGGAATTCTGATAAGCCGAAGTGCGAGAAGGGATGTGGCGGAAGCATCGACGCATGGGGCGTAAGGATTTCGCAGCCATTAACTCATTATGAAGGGGATGGACGGTGTCATTCAGAATTCGGTCAGCAAATTGCTCCATCGTATTGAAGTGTCGCTGCACGAGGATATCAACTAAAATATGATAGGAAACACCAGCAGCAGAGGCGAGCATTCGAATGACACGTTTAGGAGTAATTAGGTCTTTTTTAAGTAAAGCTGGAAAAATAACTGGAGAACAATAAAGAATGAGTGGAAGAATACAGTCATCTATGAATCGCCAGATTAAGGACTGGGGTGTGTGATATGAACGTAGCCGACGAATGTAATAAACAAGTTTTTGAATTTTTGTTAAAAGGGTTTCCATATGTAGAGAGAAAGAGAAATTTGAGGATAAAGTAACACCTAGGTACCGGAAAGAAGATACCTCATTGGGAAGAATATCCAAAGGTTCAGGATTGGGAGAGGGTCGCAATCGAAACACACACTGTACTGATTTCTGATTGTTGAGTAGAGTCCATTATTCGATGACCATGTGGAGACGTGAAGAAGCACAAAAGTCGGCCCAAGTCTTTGCGGTGGATACGCGGGATAACTGAAAGGACTGTGAAACTTCATCTTCTTCGTCCTCCTCAATCTCCTTTGTTCTTACCTCCTATATAACCCCTTTGTCGTTCTTCAGTTTTATACTTAGCGGTCTGTTGGTTTCCCCTGCACACGTCTCCGCCGGGCCACAAAGCGGCATGCCATACGCATTTGCTCTTGCGATGGAACTCCCGACGGTTCTCATCTAATCACCATTGAGGCGATGAACAGCAAGTGACCTCCACATGAAGGCCTCGGCCTTTCCCCAGTGTTCTACAAGCGAACTTTGCATGTACTTGGTACAGTCCCGCACGCGCTGCACTGGATGATGTCGCGAATTGCGGCCTGCGGGGCGGTATTTGCTGCTCTGCTCAAATCTCCGTTCTCGTACTCATTTCGATGGACTTCGATATGCAGACTGCACAGTCTTCCCTCGTCCTTTGTATCTCCTGAATCCACTATCCAGGTAGATTACTCTCACCCTCAACTTCTTTTGTGGCTCACTGAAACGCTGCATCTATCTGCTGTCTTTAAGGTGTCCACTAACTAAATCTGATATCCACGCATAAATCAATATTACAGTATTATCCCTCCCCCTCTCCATGCGCACCCGTATACCGGAGACAAACTCGGTGCAGTTGTGTTGCGTTTTGAGGTTTCACTGCCGTTTCCTTATTTGAAGCATTTTTTCCCCGGTATGAATTGAAAACAAGCATGTACAGCAGAATTTATTGAGGCCAACAAATTTCGTGACGGCTTTTCAACTGCAACCCGTCTCTGCATAACATAGGTAACGAATGAAAGCGCACAGCAGTATGAATTTGTACAGAATGGCAGGGCATAGGAGCAAGGTCAAAGTTCAAAATAATCAATAATCAGATAAGACGTCCACATAAGCATCAAAAAGGAAAAAGGGGGAGACGAAATGTTAACAACAAATCACAGTCAGAGGAAAATCGAGGCGTGAGATTACCAGGGCAGTTGCAGATTGATCACGTGATCTAACTGCTTGCACAGGTCTGGTTTCTCCCTCCGTATGTAGGCTGCTTCCAGATAACGCAAGGTTCGAGTTGTACATGCTCGGACAAGTACTCGAAAGGATGCTTTAGGGTCGACAACATGACCGCTATCTAACAGGTGTTTCGTTATAGACGAACTGGGGGTTCTATTTTCCTGTTTGGAAAGCCAATTAGGCAAATGCTCAGTGGCCCTGGTTGCCAATTGCCTTTGCGTTCGTCCAATGTACTTGCATCCGCAAGTGCATGTGAATTCATACACACAATTGGGGGTGGCGTGCATTGGCTAGGCATCCTTTGTCCGGTTAATTGGAAGGCTTTTTGTGGAACTGATGAAGAACAGCTCTGCTGCGTTGTACGTTCTTTCTATAGTGCAACGCAAGCGTCGCTTGATTGTGTTTGAGACGTTGTCACCCTTAAAAGGTAGACATATTATAACGGGCATCTTCGGAACGGACTGTTCCGTCAACTTTGGCCGTAAATGGTTGCTGTACTTCTGAATGAAGCGTGCAGGATAACCACGATTAAGTAAAGCTTCTTTGATACGGGCAGTTTCTGTATCTATGGTCTCCCTGGAGCAAATATTTCTCGCTCTTTGAAAAAGAGTATGTACTAGATTACGTTTCCATTGTATTGACGCAAAGCTTTTAAAATGTAGGTATTGCCCTTTCCACGTAGTCTTGTGGAAGACGGAGCGTCTTATTGAACCATCATCCTCTCTAACCATGAGGACGTCCAGGAAGGGTAACTTGTTAAACTGCTCCATTTCCATCGTAAATTTGATTTTAGGATGCAGATTATTCATCAGGCAAAGTAGGTCGGAGGCGTCTTCCTTGTTATCAACAATCGTGAATATATCATCCACGTATCTCCTGTATAATGTTGTCATGTTTAATTCTGAGGACACCTTATCTTCTAGGTAACCCATAAAAACATCGGCGAGGGTTGGCCCAACTGGACTACCCATTGCGACTCCGTCAATTTGTCTGTAAAGTTCCCCATTAAACAGAGATTGAACGTCTTTCCTTATTTCCTATGCAAGTTACCCTTTGATCTCTTTATATTTCAACACTTACTCTCGACTTATTTTATGACAAAGTGAAACACTGCACCTGTCCCTCTTTAGAGTGTCCACTAACTAAATCTGATATCCGCACGTAACTCATTATGCCGGTATTATTGTGGTTGTGTTGCGTTTCACTGCCGTTTCTTTCTTTTTTGGAAAAGTTACCCGATGCCACAGTTTCCCTGTTTTAATGACGCGTCTTTTACTTACACAAAGGTTCATCGAGACCCTCCACCGACTTCCGCCAATGTACATCCGGGCGTGCAAGATGTTATTCTTGCCAAATTCCAAGGGAATGCGACGCTACCTCGTCGAGGCAGCGAGCTGCTGGCCAGAGAGTCCACGGCAGTCTCCGGGACTCCTGATCATAACAAACTGCAGACAATGTGCGCTCTCCAGGTGTCGTTTTAAAGTTGCGGAAAGCAGCACAAGTCTATTACCCCAGCCAAAAATGCCCGTACTGGACTACCCTCTGCTGTGGTTTCCATCGTGTGTGAGATGCTGCAACACCTGTTGAACATGAATGCAGCCGTTTAGGGGGTTTTTGGTGGCACTGGGCCGCGCAGTTGTGAGCATGCGAAGTCACTTGAATGAGCACTTGGTCTCTGGCGGTGCACATGTCGAACGTATACTGGTGGTTTCACTTATGGCGAACCTGTATGGTGACCCCTTGGGGGAGAGGGGAAGCTTGGGAACCTGGGTTTATGCCCGTGAATCCGTCTATACCAGCAACGTTTCGTTGTTCTCCCTTTTCCTGCCCCGCACTCCACCTTGGTGGAGTGTGCCTCCAAGCCCCTCACTTTTTGAGGCAGCGGGTACCAGGACCCATCGGAGAGATGATGAAAAAATTTTGGCCCGCCTCTGGGTTGCTCATATGGCGTCAGTTCGCTCCATGCAGCTTTTTAGTGTCCGCCAGGATCCCCTAAACGGCTGCATTCACGTTGTTCCTGTGGCATAAAGCAGACGCTACAAAACACGTTTATGGCTGACGCATCGTTCTGTACCTTTTCCATCTACTGCTGTTTTTGATTTTTTTGTTTTAAAAGACGAAAAGTAAAGTTTTGTTCTTCAACAAATCTTCGTCATCATAGTTGTCCAGTCAGTTAAAGATGTTTTTACCGGAAATCAGAGTCTGGGGTAAATTATTGACCATGATCCTGTTACTGTTACGAGGGATTCTAAATTCCGCAACCGGCGGTTTCCCGTAGTTATTGATTTTCTCATCTGATGAGGCCTTGCTGTGGCAACAACCTTGAAAATCCAAGGAGGCAGTTATTGCACACTTCCAATCACTTATTTAAAATATCGATTGGGTGTTTCATACTAGAGAGAGAGAGAGCCAAATACGTCAACCCCACTGTTGTCTGCGTCTAGGCTAGCCTGTTTTCTCGTATTTTAGACAGTGAGAATATGAAACATTGGCACCTACGAAATATTTTGCTACGTGTCGTAGCGGACGGCAATTTTCCAATCTTAACCAAGGGTTGCGGAACAGTTTAACTGACCAGCATTTTGCCCTTATGCCTGCTTTAGTAAAGGCGCAGTCAGTATGTACGTTATTCGTCTTCCTGGCTTCCACTGCCACCGGGTGCGCGAGGGAATCTTATCTCGTAGGGTGGATATGCTAATCAGATTTGGACGACGGCTATACCCTGACTTACTTGCTTGCCGGGACTGTTAGGGTCAGTATAACTCCCTAGTCAAATTAGGCAAAGGCGCCGTGTACGTAGTAAGTTCGGGCGGAAATGGTGTGCTTCGGATCGACCCTGTCCGGTCTGTGCATTTAGTGGACAGTTTTCTCTAGCGCTGGCTGACTGACTGCATTTTGGGAAACTGTAGTGTTGCCTTCTGCGTCAGGTCTTTTTTTACTCAAACCCTAGGTCGGTGAGGGATTGGGAATGCTCATCAGAATGCTAATGGGTTATTGGTTTGGAGTTTACTGGTCCGGCCGTTTTGTTTGACGGTTGCCTGCGAGATTAATGTCCACCCAATAGCCGCCGCCAGGAATGTCATCTGCATCGGGTGCCACTTTGGTTTTCCCCTATGTTGATGACTGTCCGGGCTGGTCGGCCAACGGATACTGGGGGCGGAAGCAGTGGTTGAAAGAGGCAAGACGGCCTGTCTACGCGTGCCACACACGCTGCCTGGCTTCGCTTCGGCTTCTCAGGCGAAGGCGTGAGCCACTTGAGTCTTGCATTCAGAAGAGGCTGAAGTTCACCAAAGATTTGCATGCGGGCACACGCGGCCAGGTCTTCTGATGCAGTAACTATGCGGGCGGTGCCAGTTGAGACGAGTGGGGCGATCCTATGTTGGACCTGGTTCGTCAGTCCCGTGCAATGAATACGCAAATAATTGACCAGGCCTATGCGTGATGTGGAGGCGCCACGGCCATTAAGACAGGCTCGAAGCGAGTCCTCATTGCTGGTAGTGGGGACAGTGGTTGATGTGGCGTCGACAGTGTTAACACCAGAAGTGGTAGGGATGATGGATGCGTTGGTGTGTTTCGGGGTTTCGCTCATTGGCGGCGGTGATTGACGTTGTGGTAGTCGCGGTAGGGCTTACTGCGGAGCCCCTTTTGGAAGCAATAGATGAAGTTGTAATGCAGTTATTGCATCGGTTCCGAAGATGTACCACGGGATCAGTCGGCGCACGGATACCCTTAGAGACGTTGCCATGGAAGTGTCGCTCGATATCCATCCTGAGGTGACCAGTCCATCGCGGCATTCCGCAAACCCATCTGGAGCGGGAGTTGTTCAGCTACCTGACATTTTTTGGCGCAAGCGGACCAGTAGAGCAGTGTCGTCGGGACTACTGTGTTGTATATTTCGAGTTAACTATAATAATGACTTGCATTTTTGAACGCCAAATGGGTGCTGTACAGGTTGTTTCAGACAGGTTTATAGCCTGTTAGATGCCAGACTCGGTGTAGACGTCCGTGGTGCCAGCAACGGTAGGTTTTGTAAGCCCAGCTCGTAACCAATAACTCTGGACCAGTGTAACACGCGGATTGTGATAATAGGAATTTTAAGGGGTGGGAGATCGCCGCGGAGGGGGAACGAAACAAATTCAATAAAACGTTAAACAATTAACTCATTTCCTCCCAACTCTTCTTCTACGTCTAGATATAGCAACGGAATTGAGCGCGATGACTGGAAAGTGAGCGAGGAGCAGTTTCTAACAAATAAAACATATTCGAACAAACCGCCTCTCGAAAATTTGAAGCAGGTCAGGAACTAACAACCAATAGGAAACAAGACCAGTAAGTGCCGAATAGTGTAACTGTGAGAATTTACCGCGAGGTGACGTGGTGAATGGAAATGCTAGAGGAGCTATGGAAATACCCCTTAAGGAAAGCGAAGAATGTTAAACAACTCATGTAATATACAAATTTAGGGAAAATAAAAATTCATATGCAAAGGACATGCGCAATAACGAAATGCGTGAGGTCGGCGCTCTTTCGTGCTGCAACTTCCGTCATTGTACTGAGGGCGCAATCGTCCGCGAAGGGTGCTGGTCTGAGATACTCTGGAGCGTGGTTGAGTGCGCCGCGCCCCCAGCAGTTGTTCTTCGACCTCATTTTTCTCGTATTAATCCCTGACTGTTCTTCACGGCAGCCGTCCATCATCTTTGCGAGAACATCAGGCCGGAGAGAGTATGAGCGAGTCCTCAACCCTATTTCACTCCATTGGTCATTGGAAATGCTTCCGAGACTGCCTCGTCCGTGTCTGATCCACGGCCACTCACATCAAAGTGACGCTTTAGTTTTAACTGATCACTTCGACAAACTGCCGAACCCTGTTGCATCTGATGTGGTCGTTGAGACGTTCGGTTAACAATTTAATGATTTTCTACCCCATGACCATAATTTTTCTCGAAATTTATAACTGGCATAAATTGCTTCAACTGTTATCTGAGTGTGTCTGGTATCTGTAAACTGCGTTCTCAAATTTTCTGCCTATCTCCTTATCATACACTGAATTTTAATAAGTAAGGCAGATATAACCCAAGAACGCGAAGCTCATGATGAAATGAAACACGTCTCCGAGGAAATCAAAACCGTCTTAGCTCCCTGTTTGTTACATGGAAGTAAATTATATCAGAATTTGGAAATGGAAACGTCAGACAGCTACATAATTTTTTTTAAAACCGGTCGGATAACGAATTGTTAACATTACTAAATGTGTTGTGCAGTATTTGGTCTCTACGTAATTGTGCTGTAGAGTATTGGTGCGATCTCAGCTTCTGAGATAGACGTATTGGAGCCAACATTCACATTCAATGGATCAAAAACAAACGTTACTGAAATGCAGTCAGTAATATTAAAACAAGAATAAACTGTTATAGCGAGACGCTAAGACCGTATCGGTCAGATGTTTGGTGGTATACTGGTCCAACTTTCGATTAAAAGCCTCAACGGAGGTGAACATGACGATAGTTGCAGGCAGAGCATTCCAAGCCTCGACCACTCTGTTGGAAAAGAAGAACCTTCGCATGCCCAACCTGGCGCCAGTCACACGAAGTTTAAATGGATGACCTCGGTGTTTCGGTGTGGTTGCTAACTCAAAGAAGTCAGCAGGTAAGAGACAGCAGCCCTGACCGCGCATAATACGGAATGCTTGTATCAGATCGCCTCTTAGCTGTCTGTAACTCAGAGGGAAAAGGCCGAGATTTGATAACCATTTTTCGTAGGGCAGTGAACGCTGTCGTAGGTAGTGAGATAGGAGATAACCTCAGAGTTGTGAGTAGACGGTAAAGGTATTACTGAAACTGACATCTGGTCTGAACTGCTTGCACTTCATGGCCCCTGTTTTCATCGATGAAACGGATTTTAACTAGGTCGAGTTCTCTACCATGAGTAATGGTGCAGTCAAGAAATGCATGACGGGGCCTCTCTACACGGCAAATGAATGCTTCACCACCTTACCAGTCGAGCCGTGATGCACTTGAGAGTTGCCAACTATGATAGACCTGTAGCAGCCTAGCAACTACATCTTGCAAATACTGCAGCACCTGAGTAATCCATTACCCTTGCAGGACTCTGTCTCTGATGGCAGATTCGAGTGAGAAACAAAAACGTCTGGCTAATAGGGTTACAGCGATCGTGTCTCTCTCTCTCTCTCTGCGACTGCTTCCTGAACTTACCTCCATGTTTCTACTAGCAAATGAAGGGAATTGTCAGGAATCAGTCACGAATTTCCTCGGAGAATAAGACCTTCTTGACACTAACCAACTCAGTTTTCGACAAATCCAATCCTCCTTGATCAGTATGCTTTATTCAGTTTCAGTTTATTAAGGGAAATATAGGCGAGCGCCTTTGAACTCCCTATTGGTTACAAGTCGTCGGAGAAAAACATTGATAGCGGGAAGGTGAAAAAATGGGTTTTGTACCTAATCGCTGACAGCTAGTCAAAAAAGAGTAATCAATAACGGCTACTAACTAGTTACAATTAGTATAAACAAGTTTAAGTTGGTGCCGGTTATGTGAGTGGATGTAAGGTTGGTAACTGGGAGGCTTGATGCGCGTCAAGTCTGCACTTAAAGGAATTCACACAGGAGGAGGTTGCAACATCGGTGGGCAGGACATTCCACGCTGCAACCACTCTGTGACTGAAAAAGAACTTTCTTCCATTGATCCTTGCTTTCCCGGCGCGTAGTTTTAGGGGGTGACCGCGCAAAGTGGGCGTGTTAGCTTGTGTGAAATAATCAGTGGGATCTAAACAACAGTCTAGACCGTTGATAATGCGAAATGCAAGTATAAGGTCACCACGTAATTGCCTGTAGGAAAGTGGAAACAGGTTGAGAGTTGACAGTCGAGATTCGTAAGACAGTGCTCCCAGACCTTGTGTAATTTTGGTCGCCCGTCTCTGGACCTTCAATGGAGTATCGATTCCGAAAGCTAGACAGAGACGCACGAGTCGATGTCGTTTACACTGTCGAGACGGGACGCCGTCTCGAGAGCTCCCACTGGTCGGCAACACAAGCATTACCAAACCAGAAGTCAGAGAAGACGGGCTGGGCTGGACAACCTTTACGCTCCATGGGGCAACATCATGACAAAGGAAAAATTTTGCATTTTCCAGGTACGCAATGACACGATTTCGATGGGTAAAGATGGTGTCAACCTCGATTGATGAAAGCAATTTGACTAAGATGGGTGGATTTTTGCTACGGGAGGACAAGCCTTTAGTATCGGTTATTTTGTAGTTGAAACCACATGAATACAGGAAATTGGTCGCAACATCCATTGGCCGAACAGATCGAGGAAAATGTTTTAACAGAAAGTTGTATGAACGCTTTTGTCTATCACTAGATTCACTTGCGATCAGGTGAACAAGTGAGTGGAGACGCCTACATTCTTGAGAGGGAATATCGGAGATGTTCCCGTCTAATAAATTTCCAAGAATTGACAGCAAAGTGCCAAACTTTAGCATAAAGTCATTGCAGTGGTCAAGTGCAGACAGATTAAGCTGCCGACCAATTTCAGCGGGTGACGACTGACTAGAAATACCATCTGACTTAGATTTAGGTAAGCCTTCTGACTTAGGTTTAGTTTAGCCATGCCTAATTACAGATGCCGAGAGCTTACGCCGACCCGGTGACTTTTGGTCTCATCTTGTCTCGAAGAAAGTTGTGATTAAAAAAACTTCTGGCAGACAAGATGGCTGAATTTCAGCTAGGAGCTATTGATGTAAAAATAAATTACAACAGTTAGAGAGAAATCGAATGCACGAAATCAGAATTGCAGAGTGCGACTGGTAAACAACAGGCATAGACTAGCAGAACTCAAAAAGGGGATGACAACAGGCTGTTCTGAATGAAGAGGCCGGCATTTAAGGAAATTTAACCAAAAACAGGGGCAAAAATCGTTAGGTCTCACAGAAAAACCACTTAAAATAATATTCTCTACTTATCTTCAAATTTAAAACCAACGGCTTTACCTTGACCTTCGGCATAAAATTTGGCCTGAAAGGGCTCTGATGATGTTAGCCATTAGAGTGACACCAGAATATAACCTTAAAAATCAACTAGGTATACGATAGCATAATTCATATGCATATCACAAATGCATATATGTCCTTTTTTCCCTTCCTCTCATTTCCATCAAATGACTGACTAGACATTGAGAATCTTCGAGGAACATAAGCAAATATAACTTTCGGTAAGGCTCTGCATATAAGTTGTACGTAAGGTTATATGTGATGATAACAAGAATGTGGAAGGCCCCATATGATCTTACACGGGGTGTACGGGTGTATAGAGCGGTGGGTCAACGCAACGGACGTAGTAGGTAGCTCGCGGATTCAGACTACGCCCAACGTTCATTTGCTGGGACCCAACTCTTACCTGTGGCTCCTCGAAGTTAGGTTCTGCCTAGCGGCCACACTCCAGTAACCGCCTCGACCGACGGGTTCAACAAGGTGGAGGTATCCGTGTTTGCATCCCCGCACACGGCAATCAAAGCCTCGCCGACAGGATGGAACAACGCATCGGCATGGCCGTGACGAGGTTCCGTGTAGAACATCGCAGGAGGTCACAAGGTAAGTGAGCAAGTAAACTTTGCCCTTGCTCTGCTTGTGCTTGTTGTCTGATCTCTGTCTGCTTGTCTGTGCTTGCCCATGTTGAAAGTTAAATCCCGTTTGTTTGGGTTTCCTGCATGGTATCTGCTACTTGTTGTCACTGAATGCTTGTTTTAATGATAATAATAATAATAACTTGATTTAATGCCAGTTAGCAGGCATTGTCAGGGAAGCGTTAAACACAAATCCGGCCATCAGTGAAAAAACCTCCTGTCGAAAAGGAATAAAAATAAAGTTGATGGTGGTTTTTAGAAAAACACTGCTGACCGCAAACTGTCGACACTCCAGAAGGGAGGGGGTGCACGATATAAGATCTCATCAGTCGCCAATTACTTTCATGAAGTTAGGGTTAGTCCAACCAGAAGTGCCGAAGAACAGCTGTCGCTGTTAACCAAAGAAATTGTCCCTGAAGAGACCGCCCATAGTGGTCAGAGACCACAAACGCCATCGCTCCGGTACAGTCGTTCAGTGGATTCCACACTCAAAATTTGTGGCAGCTTTTCTGAATGCAAAAATCGAGTAATAATTCTCTTAAATAAAGGATAATTTTGCAGAGTTTTCGCACTCATGGGTAGTTTATTCCAAATAGCAATTGCATCTACAGAAAAGAACCGAGGATATTTAACAGTACGTGCCAGAGGCAGAAATAAGAAGACCTCACGATGACTGTTAAGTCGCGGGTGGATATGATGTCTTAAAGAGGTGAGTGGGTTAAATGTGTGATAATGTAAGAGTTTAAATAGCAAAAATAGTCCCTTTTGCAATGTACGGAACAATAAAGGATCAGGGCCTATAAGCCGGCAACGTTCTTGGTAAGACAAATGTTGGTGTTCCGGGGTTAAAATTCTCTTGGTAAAAAAGTGTTGAACGGATTCTAGTTTCTTCCGCTCAGTAGCACGCATGAGGCTAAATAAAAACGAACAGTATTCCAGGCCAGGTCTAACGTACATGTTGTAAAGCCGCAATCTGATGGCCCTTGTTTTAAAGTTTCGGAGAATAAACCCGGTCGTTATACGTTCTTTGAGATTACAAAGGCACAGTGCTCCGAAGGATTGGGGCTCTTGAAATATGATACACCCAGATCCTAAATAACCCCAGGCACATTTATGGCGTGACCGTCAATGCTTAGTTGAGGTTGGCGGTCGTCGCCAACCACCATGACTGAGCACTTATGCCAAGAAAGAGAAAGGCGTCATGTGCGGCACCACTGGGCAAAGGCCCGCCGGTCCCTCTTTAAGAGTTCAAGTACGATGTCATGATCTGCCGGCTTATATGGATGTGCAAACTTCAGATCATCGTCATACATGAAAGGCCTACCATTCTGAAATAAATCGGGTACATCATTAACGAAAAGGCAAAATAAAAGCGGGCCGAGTACACTACCCTGAATGACTCCACTCCTCACACGTGTGGGGTTGGAGGTAGTATTAGAAATCTCAACTCTTTGGGTACGAGTGCCCAGGTAAGAGGATATAAAATTCAAAGGTTTTTCACCTATTCCGAAAGAGGACAGTTTCAAGAGAAGAAGAGCATGGTCAACGCGATCAAAGGCCTTAGTGCAATTTCAATTTCAATTATTTTTATTAAAGACCCGTCGGGGTCCCATCAAAGCAAGTAAAAATAAATTTACATGCGAATTTTAGACGAGGTAGGCAAAATCTGTACAAGTGCAATACATATTTTTTGAGATTAGAAGTCCGTTAAGCAAAATGAAAAAAACGAGGGGTGAAAAAAAACTCCAAAGCAAAATTTAAAAATGATTGTAATAATTTAACAGGAGAAAAAAACCCTCAGAAAAATAGCATCAGAAAAATACCGGGAGGACTGGCCTGCATTTGGCGGTACAGAATGGAATATAGTCCGACATCAACATGGCCGAAATAAATGTCAGCTGTATATGGCATTGTGTAACGGATTTCATAAAATGGTACGTAGGCGGGTCGGTCAGGACTGGCCTGTATCACCTTGAATAAAAAAAATAAGTGGCGAAATTGAAAACCAGTCTCGAGCTGATAGGAACCCAGATGCGGTAAGTTTCATTCAACCGAGTCCATCCGAGCATGGGGGGAGATGCGACCAGATTACTAGTATATGGCGAATAAAGAGGGCTTTGTCATGACCGCCGATGGAGCGCATTATGTAAGGGCACGATGACAACCAGTCTCGAGGCGACAAGAACCGAGATGCGGTCGGTTACATTCATCCGAATCCATCCGAGGATGGGGCAAGGGAGATGCGACCAGACTACTAGTATATGGCGAATACAGAAGGTTTCGCCAAGAGCATCGATGGACCGCATTCTGTGAGGGCACGATGCATGAACTGAAAAATTGGAATAATTAACATTTCTGGTGAGGGATCTCAGGAAGCGAGACTACTCATAAAGGAAGGAAATGTTAACAGATACGGAAATTTAATGGCGGCATACTAAATTCCCGGTGGCCCTTTTTCACTGTCATAGAAAAAGTTGTCTGGGAAGGATGAGGAAAATAAAAGTTTAATCGAGTCGGTATTCAGATAAAGACGTAGCCTTCTCTTAAAGGTGTGTAGAATTTCTGAAGATCTTATATTTATTGGAAGGTTATTCCAGAGGAAAGTATATCTGGAAGCGAAAAAAGGGAGCGCTTAGAGGTGGAGGACGCTAGAGGAGGTATAATTAGAGACCAGTTGCGAAGATTGTATGGGCGACTACCAGGGGTGAGTGCTGAAATCCGAGGAAAATTTGAACTATGATTAATGCGAAAGAGGAGCCAGAAGCCCGCTTCTAGTCTTCGAACCCATAAAAATTTTAGGTTAATTAGCTGGCATCTATCTGAGTAGGCGATATTGAGATGTTCCCTACCTAAAAGTTTTTTAGAAAAACGTATTTGGACATTTTCAATTTTTAAACGACTAGCTTCATTCATCAAACCAAAGAATGGGCAACAATACTCGGGAATGGGAAGTACAAACATACGATAGAGCCTTAATTTAATTTCAGGAAGATAGAAATTGTAAGAAATAAAGCCACAAATCTGGGCAGCTTTGGCTGTAATTCTGTCAGCGTGCGGCGAGAGATCAAGATTACTAGTGTAGCTTAAACCTAAATCCTTGATGGTGGTACATTCAGTCATGAGTGTGCCTTGAAAGACCACAGGTTGGGGTAGCCTATCAGGTCCAAAACACATATAGTGACATTTAGGCGGAGAGAATTGCATTAGCCATTTTGAGCTCCTGGCTGAGAGAGGAAGCAAGTCAGCATGGATTTGCTCCAGGCAATGAAGGCTCGTAGATTTATTGAAAGAATATACACATTTGAGATCATCGGCATAAATAAATGATTGAGAATTTTTAACTGCTGCTGAAATATCATTTATGTAAAGCAAGAACAAAAGAGGACCTAAAACGGTACCTTGTGGGACACTAATTACAATAGGGCCTTCACTGGAAAGTGAAGATCCCACCAAAACCTTTTGTTTACGATTAGACAGGTACGACCTGAGAAAGTCTATTAGTGGACTGCGAATTCCCATAGCTACCAATTTAATCAGGAGTCTTTTATGTGGCACTTTATCAAAGGCTTTACTAAGATCAAAATATATAACGACAACAGATATGTGATCATGACGAAGAGAGGTAAGTAGATCGAGAAACGACAGATGACATGTTTCACAAGAGCGATCTGGTAAAAAACCATGCTGGGAAGGGCTAATAACTTGATTGGCTATGCAAAATTCGGTAATTTTTACGGCGATAATTTTTTCGAAGATTTTGGCGAGAGAGGGTGTTTTATGGACACCTCGATAGTTCTGTACGTCAGAACGACATCCAGACTTAAATACTGGAATAATAATAGAAGTTTTCCAATAGTCAGGGAAGAAGCCATTTACGAGAAATACTGAAAAGATTTTGCTAAGCAGAGGAGGAAAATCTCTTAGCTGTTTTATCAAAGAGTTTGGGATATTGTCCGTACCTACTGAGTGAGAGTTAGGAAGATGACTTATCAGTTTTTGAATACATTCAGGAGAAAAATTAATGAAGCTAAGAGAAGCATCAGACAACGAAGGAATTAAAGGGATCGGATCAGTTTCAATGGTGAAATGCTTGGCAAAGAACGAATTTAAAATTTATGCTTTGCCTGACTCCTCTGTAATGAAGGCATCACTTGCACTAAGCAAGGGCGGAATGACTTGGTGGGACTTAGCAGATGATCTCTGACGGAAGATCTGAGCAACTGATTAAGAAGAATTCACGTCATTAATAGCTAAAGACTCTCTACGCCTATCTCGCTCGAGCCTCATTTTCGAAGTTTGTTCAAATATTTCAGCGATTCTTAGATGAACTGATAATGAGCTCACAGGAGGATCTTTAAACTGCTTCCGTAACTTTTTAAGTCTGTTTTTAAGAAAGTGTGGGATAGCGGTGGAATTGGCACTCGATTTGAACATCTTCCGAGGAATACGGTCAAGAAGACCTTCTGTTACGCATTGTAATCAATTGTTGAAAAAATTTAGATCATTATTTGAAAAAATATTGTGCCAATCAAGAGTGCATGTTAAGTTATTTACTTATTCCTTATTAACATTAGCAAAGTCAAAAATACTACGTTTAACTGTTGGCTTTGCGGAAATTGCAACTGGAAGCGACAATGGATTAATGCATGATCACTTGCAAAGAGGTCATGATAAAAATCCATAGATAAAGGGAAGGTGCCATTAGGAAAAATTTAGTCTAAAACACTATCGTTTCTGGTCGACGAGTGAACTAATTGAGTCAGGTTTGAAAAGTAAATTTTGTCAAGCAGCTTCTGGAATTTAGGAGGAGAAGTATGTGTGTGCCAGTCAATTTCTGGCAAATTAAAATCGCCTACGATTATCTTGACATCGAAAGAAGTTTCTGCAATTTTTTCAAAGAGTTCACAAAGTTGGCTTTCATTTCCGGAGGAACAAGGAGGATTATATACACATCCGACTAAGGCTTTCCTATTTTGAGGAAGGATTACCGAAGCAAAACATAAATTTCCAGAGAAGGAGGAAATGTTCAAGTTATAAGGCGATTGTGCAAGTGATGCTCTTATGTAAAGAAGGCATCCACCGCCGCGTCTGTCGGCACGTTCCTGGCGGTATAAATTGAGGCTATCTATGTTAAGTGCCGAGTCTGAAATTAGAGAGTGGGCCCAAGATTCAGTAATGCACAATACGTCTGTGTCAAACTCAACAGCTACACTTCTTAGGTGTGCCATCTTTTGTACGACAGATCTTGCGTTGAGAGAGACAATACTGAGCGTATTCCTAATATGTAGGTTCCGCTCATTGCTACTTATAAAAAAGGAAGAGCCGGAGGTGGAAAATTAAGCTGTTGGAACGAAGCAATTGGTGGAGGACAAAGTTGCTGCGGTCTAAAATTTATGGGGTAATTACTAGCTAGAGATGCAGCATTACGTGGAAAAACATTTGAGGAGGACCCAGGAAGAGGAAAACTATTTTGTTGGGTTGGAAAAATAGGAGACAAGAAAATAGGATTTTGGGGTAGTTTATGTTAGGTGGCGGACGTAATGGTTTCGGGAAACAGTTAACATCAGGAAAGGGCTTTATATTTTGGGGTGTCAGGCTAGCAGCGGGATTGGAAAATTTATCAGCCATGCAATATACTTGCATTTTGCAGTCTGATGTGTAAGAGGGCTTCACAACTGTGGCGTTAAGTTGAGAATTCAGGATAGGAACAGGTAAAAACCTCCCTGAACTCTCATCTAGCTTATTAGACCTAACTGCAAGGTCAGACCTGAGTAGCCAGGCGTGGGAACGGGGTGGATTCGATGTAAGTTTATTGACCAAATCACTATTCTGAGTGCTGGGAGCCGGTTGTGCTTCAAGGACTAGCTCATCTTTACTGCTAAGATCAAGCTCCCTTATAAATTTGGGAGCCGCATTTGAACAATCCTTGCTCCGTGGGGGAGTTTTAAAGAGGCTAGTTTTAACCGTCTCTGTGATAATGTGATCAGCAGAAGAGCTAGATGGAACTGGGGCCGCTGTAGATAGTGGGGGGATTTGGTCGACACCAGATGGAGAAACTGCTTTAGAGGAAAAAGGCATTTGAGTAGAATTCGGGGGTGGCTTTACGTTTGGTAATGGGGGAGAAACTTTTCGTTGCAGTGGAGTTTGGTCTCGACTAATAAAAAGTTTATTTGCCCTGAGATATTGAGTCGAGCGCTCCAAATGGGAGAAAAGAAAATCCACTTCTATCGATGAAAAGAGTTTGACAAGAATTGGTGGATTCTTGCTCCTAGATGAAAGCCTTTTAGCTTCCGCGACCCTAAAGTTGAAGCCGCATGAAAAAAGGAAATGAAAGGCGACACTATTGGCTGTCTACTCTTAGGAACGTTTTTTAATATAAAGTTGAAACTTCGTTTGTGCCTGTCTTCAGTCTCAGTCGCAACCAGGTTAATGAGAGGCATGAGCTTCTCACACTGCTGAGACGTAAGCGTTGGCAAATTTCCGTCAAGAAGGGCACCAAGGACAGAAAAAATTGATCCGCAACGAGACATAAAGTTGTTAAAATCATCAAGCGCCCCTAGATCAATTTTCTTCATATGAACAATGGGGTTCAGATGAAGTTTAGTTTCCTTCAGATTTCGACGAAGGGTTGCTTGAGGTTTCATGCCGAAAACGCAAAACAAGACTTAAGTCCAAATATTTATATGGATGATAACTGCCGAAACTTCGAGGATATATGGATGAGGCTATGTATGATGAAACGATTTATGAAAGCTGCCAATATTGGTGGACCAGACAGCACAATTTATACTAAGCAAGTTTTACTCAATACCAGAATGCAAACTTGAAAAAAGAACGGGCAAATGACAATTTCGTAGGTGGCAAAACAGAACTATGAATAAATCTGAATTGGATAATGAGGCTATGTAGGATAAAATAGATAACAGTATAATTCTCAATAAACTGACGATGAAAGCCGTCAGATGGAGACGGTTTATCGTTTAAAATATAATGGTTATCTATATTTATACGAGGAAAACCTTTTGTATATGCAGGTAAGACTTGATAGGATTGAGGCTATGTTGGGTGAAAAACTGCGACCATAGATTTCTGCTTTATGACAAATCACAGAAACACGACAGGAAGCGAAGAAGACTTATGACAAAAAATAGAAAATTTTGTCAGGTCTACACTGGAAAACTGTGCAAGGGATTAAGAAATTGAATCCAAAAATATAACTTTCACTTATCCTTTCAAAATCGTGCTGCGCGCGAAATAGAATGTGCAAAGTGTAAAACCAATGTCCCTAAATTCGAGGACACAGTCAAAGAAAGAAGGTTGACAGGTGTCTCAAGACCGAGCTTTGAGGAATCCATGCTGAGCCGCACTCAGTAGGTTATTCTCTGTCATCTTATCTTTGATCAATATCGCTAAGATATTCGAAACTGCGGGGAGGGTGTTTATTGGCCGAAAGTCACCAAATGACGCAAATTTGCCGTGCTTAGGAATGGGCAAAATGTGTGATTCCTTCTACAAGGTAGGAGAAGTTTCACTTTCAAGAGCGAGATTAAATATCTTGCATAAGAGGGATGGAAAAATCGTATTTGCATCGGCTTTTAAAATGCTTACTGGGACACCATCAGGTCCTGGACTATAAGATTGACGGAAACGCCGAATCGCAACAATCACATCCCTCGGCAATTGGATTTGCCTTTGACTTAGGCACATGCTTAGGCGTGCTAGGAGTTGCTGGGGAGTCGATAGAGGCGTGTTTATACCAGGAGTGATGGTATGTTTAAAGATCTCAGCACCAAGAACAGTCGAATTTCCCTACGGAATTGACTATGTCGTGACGTGCACAGGCCGCAGATGATGTTGTAGAAGACTTATTCAAACTGACAATAGGTGTCATCATGTTGGTGTTGGTTTTTTGAAAAGTTCAGTTTGGTCAGTCTTCGCTGCAGGGGTGTGAGGTCTGGCGAAACGGAGCAGTGCCATTTACGGCAGAATTATCTAGTTATCTCCCTCCTCGACGAGATAAAATCGACTTCTATCAAGGAGAGAAGCGTAACTAGTATCGGCGCATTACGGCGGAGCGAGCGCAGTCGTTTATCTTGCGCGACACTGAAACCCAAGCCACAACATTGCAGGAATAAATGCGTCCCTCTATAGCAGATAAGTGACTCCGAATGTTTCACTGTACAAAATTATGCCTGCGTTTTATTCTCTCCTCAGTTTCAGAACTCATTACTCTATAAAGTTTAAACGCCTGTTCAATGACTTTTTCAGAAGTGCTGTTTAAGTCGCCATATATCTATTGCTCGAGCATTTCGTCGGCTGATGAATGTTTCGCAGTACAAAATTATGCTTACGTTTAATTCTCTCCTCAGTCTCAGTACTTCTTACCCCAATAAGTTTAAAAGCTTGTTCAATGGCTTTTTCTTCTGATTGTCAGAGACCGTAATTAATGTAAATAAAATGTCGTCATATAGAATATGCCTACAAATCGAATTTATCTCAATATCCAGTAAATTTACAGAAAAACAGGAAAGCAAGGCATCCTGACTGTCTACCATGCGCTTAACCGTCGTTGTTGGCAGTCCCACGATAACATGCGTTATTTTCTAAGTAACGCAAAATCGTGGACAATAGTGGAGTTAAGTCGCGTCGGCACAACCGGCCTTGCTCACCTCCGCTAGGAGGAAGGGATTAGAAAAAGTGCCCTAAAGGTTGCTGGGGATCCACGTCGTCCGCAGATTGACCGTGTTTGCAGACGCTAAACTCACGGCCGAAACAACCAAAATCCAAACAACAACAACAACAAAAACAATTACAATAACGCTACTCTCTCTCTCCCTCCTCCACTTCCTACATCTTATTCCTCTTCTTCTCTTTATTATTATTCTTCTTCTCCCCCTCCTTCCCGCCGCCACACTCGCCAGACTGGCAGGGTGAGCCCGCTCACTCTGGCAGCCTGGAATGTTCATTCCCTTTTAGACAATCCGAGGAGCAACCGACCGGCTCGGAGGACGGCGCTAGTTGCTCGGGAACTGGCGCGCTACAAGGTGAACATCACCGCACTCAGCGAGACCCGGTTCTCCGAGCAAGGCCAACTGGAGGAGGTAGGTGCCGGCTACACCTTCTTCTGGAGCGGTCGCCCCAAGGCAGGGCAAGGGGACGCGGGTGTCGCCTTCGCCATCCACAACGACATAGTGAGAGAGGACTGCCCTGTCTGCCGCAGGACATCAACGATCGTCTGATGAGCCTCCCTCTGCCTCTCCGGCGGGGGGAAAATTTGCCACCATTATCAGCGCCTACGTTCCCCGATGTCCAGCGCCGACGCCGCAAAGGCCAAATTCTGCGAGGACCTACACGCCCTTCTGGAGACTATGTTGAAGGCGGATAAGTTGGGTTGTCCCAAGTGACTTTAATGCTCGTGTCGGAAAAGACTATGTTGCCTGGAGAGAAGTGCTAGATTTCCATGGCCTCAACGACTCCAACGACAATGGCCTGCTCATTCTGCGCTACTGCGCAAAACACCAACTCGTCCTGGCAAACACCTTCTTCTGCCTGCCGGAGCGAGAGATGCCCACCTGGATGCATCCTCGGTCGCGTCAGTGGCACTTGCTGGACAATGTCCTCGTCCGAAAGCGAATCCAGCGGGACGTGTTGGTGGCAAAGGCGATCCCGGGTGCTGACGGGTGGGCCGAACATCGCCTCGTCATCTCGAAGATGCGTATTGGCCTACAGCCTCGTAGGAGACCTCAAGGTAAGCGACCTCCAGGCAAGCTGAATATTGCCTTGTTGTCCTTGCCCGCTCTCCATCTTCATTTCAGCAATGAGCTAGCTCAAAGGTTAGGCAACCTTCCAGTCGTTGCCATCGCCGTCGCCGTCACTGACGAGAACCCCTCCGTAGAGAACCGATGGTGTCAACTGCGGGACACAATTCAGTCGACGGCGCAGACCATCCTCGGTCGCGCACGCAGCCAACACCAGGACTGGTTCGACGACAATGACGTCGCTATCAGCAACCCGCTCGCCGAGAAGAAACGTCTGCACAAAGCCTGCGTAGACCGCCCACCGACGACAACAGAGCTGCTTTCTACCGTAGTCTCCGCCTTGTGCAATAGCGACTGCGTGAGATGCAGGACTCCTGGACGGCCT